CGCTCGCGCGACCCAGAACAAGAGTCTTGGTTGGCTGCTTGGTCAGTCACGTTATTCTCATCTCACCCAGGTACTACAGTTTGGCTAATGAGTTGTTCATAGTAACTCGTCAGGTTTTTGTGGTAAATCTTTTATTTGAAAGTAGCGTTTTTGGAAAGCCTCGAATTCTTCATGTTTATTAACTTTTCGTGCACTTACTGCCGCCCATCTTTTTATTACAGGTGTTTTGTATCGTCTGCTATGTCTACCGCCGTCTATTAAAAGGTTATTTCATGGCACAGATTTAGTATAATTTCCTCCAGGTGTAAATTATCATACAGTCTTCACCTGCGTTCCAAGGAGTACAGTTTGGGAGATTTTATCATTCACAACAGCCTGAGTGAAATGACGCTGACAGTGAATGACTAAATTCTCTAGAAGAGCAATTCAGCCTGCCAAAAAGAGGGTTCTTAATATTTAACATTATTCCAGTTTAGACAGTTCAAGTGCCTTATCAAAGAAATTCATCACTGGTTTAGAATCTCTTTGTCTTGAAAATTACTGTTATGCTGCTTATTATTTTCTTGTTCTGACATAGTTATAAGGTTCCTTTCAATAGTCTTTCACTCTACCAATTTCTTTTAAGAAATTCTATAGGAAAATAGCTGTGATTTGCTTTCCTTTAACATCAAGTCATCCATCCATTCGTCCTCCCTTATACCTGCACACAATACCTGTATGAGTGTGTTGGCTCCCTCCTTGTCATCTACACTCAATACCTGAGTGTATGTGTGTGTGTTGGCTCCCTCCCAGTCACCTACAATCAATACCCGAGCGTGAGTTTATTGGCTTCCTCCCTGACACCTGCACAAAATACCTGAGTGTCTGTGTGAGTGTGTTGGCTCCCTCCCTGACACCTGTACACAACTTGTCCACTGCCTCATAACTCTGGCCTGGCGCGTCGATATTGCTGTGGTGGTCACGTATTGCTGTGACCTTTATGTGGCTTTATGTGTAGGTGAACGGACAAATGGATGGGTGAGTGAAGAAGTGGATGGTTGATTGAGTGGAGAAATTAATAGATGGACGAGTGAAGTGACAGATGATTGAATTAGCAGAAAGACTGGCGGTTAGGTGAGTGGTTCGTTTATTATTGTTACTGTTTTTATTATCATGCGCGCTTAAGAGGACCGCAGGTTGAATAAGAACATAAGAACATAAGAACGAAGGAACACTGCAGAAGGCCTACTGGCCCATGCGAGGCAGGTCCAAGTCTCCTACCGGCTTAAGCCAATGCACCCAACCTAGTCAGGTCAGGTCACATTGACTTAAGGGAGGAACACGGCAACCGACCTGTTAGCACAAGCTATCAGGTCTAACTCACACCCACCCACATCTACTCATGTATTTATCCAACCTATTTTTAAAGCTACACAACGTTCTGGCCTCTATAACGGTACTTGGGAGTTTGTTCCACTCATCCACAACTCTATTACCAAACCAGTACTTTCCTATATCCTTCCTGAATCTGAATTTTTCCAACTTAAAAACCATTGCTGCGAGTCCTGTCTAGGCTAGATATTTTCAGCACACTATTTACATCCCCTTTATTTATTCCTGTCTTCCACTTATACACCTCAATCATATCCCCCCTAATTCTACGTCTTTCTAGAGAGTGCAGTTTCAGGGCCCTTAGTCTATCCTCATAGGGAAGGTTTTTGATACATGGGATCATCTTTGTCATCCTCCTTTGTACATTTTTCCAGAGAATTTATATCCATTCTGTAATACGGTGACCAAAACTGTGCAGCATAATCTAAATGAGGCCTAACCAAGGATGTATAGAGTTGAAGAACAACCTGAGGACTCCTATTATTTATGCTTCTTGATATGAAGCCAAGGATTCTATTAGCTTTATTGCGAACACTTATGCACTGTTGTCTTGGTTTCAGATTACTGCTAACCAGAACTCCTAAATCTTTTTCGCAATCCGTAATATTAAGATCTACATTATTTAGTTTATATGTGGCATGGTTATTGTCCTGTCCAACATTTAGAACTTTGCATTTGTCTATATTAAACTGCATCTGCCACTTCTCCGACCACTGCATCAGTCTATTCAAATCTTCCTGGAGTGCTCGAATGTCCTCGTCAGAATGAATTCGACGGCCTATTTTGGTGTCATCGGCAAACTTGCCGATGTCGCTCTTTATGCCCTCATCTATGTCGTTTATGTAGATTGTGAACAGCAGGGGGCCCAATAAGCAGAAAGATGGATAACTGGATGAGTGGTTGGTGAACAGAGTGATGGATGGCTCTATGAGTGAAGAGCCAATAATACATGGATGATTTCAGAGACTGAAGGATTTGTGCGAGAATACAAGAACGCTGTTTTATTGCCATTTCAACAGTATGATGACGGAACCTTAAAAGTCCTTATTCATTCCCCTCAATGCATGTGTCACATATGTTCTCTTTTACTATGTTACATGTCTGCCTCTGACCACCATGTCCTTCGCAGGTACGTTGCTGTGACACGGCCCGTGTCTTACCCATCGCTGATGACGTCGTCCAGAGCCAAGCTTCTCATTGCCTCCGTCTGGGTCACTTCCTTCGTCATCTGCTTTCCGCCGCTCGTTGGTTGGAACGATCGACACAAGAACCTCGTGTCGGCGTCTGCTGCAGCTTCCGAGGCAGGCGCTGGAGACCTGGACGACGAGGTGTCCTGCCACCTCTCCTGCGAACTCACCAACGATGTTGGTTACGTAGTTTACTCCGCCCTCGGCTCCTTCTTCATCCCGATGTTAGTGATGCTCTTTTTTTATTGGAAGATATACTGTGCCGCCGCCGAGACCACACGAGCCATCAACCAGGGCTTCAGAACCACTAGAAACAAGAAGATCTTAGGAAGTCGCTTCCAGGAGGAGCGGCTGACCTTGCGCATCCACCGAGGCCGCAACTCTGTCCAAGAGCATCATAACTCTCATCACAACAACTCAGCGGAGCGGCGCCACAACGGCCAGTGCAGCAACCATCACAGAAAGAATAGCCAGAAGGGTAAAGTGAGTAGCATCAAGATGAAGAACCTCAGACCGCAGCTCATCATGAAGTCCAGCCTCTCCCTCCCACCGGACCTCAAGTACGATGGCAACAACTTCGCCTTATCGGTGCGCTGTGATTTGTGCAATGCTCAGTGTTCTAGAGATCATTCCAGCGTAGAGCTTCTCTCCACTAGTAGGAATGATAACAGTAAGACGGATTCCTGCTTCACTGTCGACACCAGTTTCACGGAGATAGATTCGACATCTCAGAGACATCATCAAGGAACCCTGACGCCAACTTCTGACTGTGGACCCACCACTCCAGCGAGCCTCAAGACCAGACGGTTCCAGAGCCCAGACGGGGAGACGCCTCATCCGGGGCCTGTAAGGAGCAGGAGCACCGCCACCTCCAGGATGGGACGACGGAACATAAAAGTACAAGTAAAAAGGTTCCGGATGGAGACAAAAGCAGCCAAAACGTTGGGAATTATCGTCGGAGTCTTTATCCTCTGTTGGTTCCCCTTCTTCACCATGTACCTGGTGCGGGGTTTCTGTCCCATCTGCATCCACCCTCTCCTCTTCTCCGTTCTTTTCTGGCTGGGCTACTGCAACTCTGCCATCAACCCCTGCATATATGCGCTCTTCAGCAAAGATTTTCGGTTTGCATTCAAAAATATTCTGTGCAAGTGTGTGTGCACGAGAGAGGTGAGGCATGCCTTGCCGGCCCACCACCACTCTATTTACATCCCTTCATACGACAGGGACAATGAGAGTGATGAGGACGAACATAAACGGTAGCTGAGGTAACATTTGCTCGCTATAAACATAATGATAAAACACTGACTGCGAGTAATTCACTTCTCTATTTATGAAAAAAAAAAACAGATTTTAACTCTGAAATGTAGACTGTATGTCAGTCATTTGTGTAAGGATGCTGTGTTTACATGTTGACATCTTAAAGTGACAATTGATGGTATTATCAGATAACTGTGTTGTTAGGCTCACTAGTATCCAACCTAGGCATGCCGATTTCGCTAGTATGGCGAGATTAATGCTTAAGATTTCGTCTCGCGCCTCATCCATTAATAATGAGGATGGCAGACTTGTCATACTGACTTCGTCTCACCTAGTCTACCTCCTCAACTACCCAGGACCGGCAGATTCAAGGAGCCTCAGGTACTACTAATCTCCTTCAGAGGTGTGAGACCAAATCACAACAATTAATTATTTAACCTTGTATCCGTTTGTCTATCATAATGCTAAAATTCTGTTAATTCACCCATTCATCTATATTTTTATCTACGTCATTCGTATATCTGGCTGTCACCAGTTAACATATCTGCACACATATCTATGCATATCTATATCTATAAATCTATTTATATACTTATCCATTCTTCAGCCTCATAAACATTACTTTATACACAGTTCAAGATCCCATTAGTATGTGATCATCTCATAATAAAGATGAAAGAAATGGACATGTGTGACATGGGAGTGAGCCAGTGTGTGGGGGGGGGGCATCCTGGCTCCTGGCAGTGTCAACACCTTATAGGAGAACACAAAGGGATATAGTATCACTGTGAGGAGTGAAATGAAAAGAGGTACAAAAGAAATAGAGAGTTTTCAAGAAGAACAAAAGAAACATGAAGACCCTAGGAGAAACAGAAAAGAGCGATGCTCAAGGAGGAAAAAATGGGGGGAGGTACAAAAGTAACAGACATGTGAAAGAGATCGATTAACAAACGCTGATGAAAATGAGAAAGGAAGGAAACGAATAGTACATGAATGAAAGACAAAATTAAGACGGGGAAAACAAGATCGGGAGGACTGAAACAAAGAGAGAGAGAGAGAGAGAGGAGTTGCGAATGTGAATTTTAAAAACAACAGAAGATAAATAAAAAGCGAACTCACAGTAAGAAAAATATGAAGAAATAAAGATACAAAATATAAAAATGGTAAAATAAAATAAACGTTTTCTCTTTTGTGTGTATAGTCTTGACTAATTTAAATAAGTTTTAACACATGAAGCGTTTCCCATCACAAGTTAATAACTCAAAGAAGGGAAACATTCACCACGACTCATCATCTAGCCATTTTTTACTAAAATTAATAGATTTCATGTTTCAATAGTCCACCAAATCGCAACATGCCCCGCCTGTTCTTCGAAGTGCTACTACTGTATAACTCTAAAACCGGTAAATCGAATTCCCCGAACCTCTTAATAGAAACCACCTCATACATGAATGATATGCAATACCGACAAGGTGAAGAATTAGACAAATGTGTAACATCTAATTCAATAAAGATACCCAGATGTTGCACATGTATCTAAATCTTCAAAAATCACCTTACATTCTAACACATCAAGTCCGTACAGTCACTTCCCTCCTTTCATTACTACAGTTACTCTCCTCTTCTCATTCCTAGTCACTTTCCTCCTCTCATTCCTACACTTTCCTCCTCTCATTCCTACCGTTACTCTCCTCCTCTCATTCCTACCGTTACTCTCCTCCTCTCATTCCTACAGATACTTACTATTCTCATTCCTACAGACACTTTCCTTCTCTCATTCCGATTCAGCACTTTCACACTTGCATATTGATGCTCAAGCCCCTGGCGCTCAAAATTTTCTTCATGCTCTCTTTCCAATCCTCACTTGACTTGAACTTTCTCTACCAGTTCTTCCATGAACGCCATATTTATATGATCACCTGATCAATCTCATTCCATTCTTTCTAACCGAATAATAATTTTAACTGAATAATAATTTCCATCACACAGTCTTTTAAGATTTCATTACTTGGTTTCTGCATAATGTTCACACTACTTGTTGATTCTCAGATACATTTCTACTGCCTCCTGTCTCTTCCTCGATGCTACAAACAAACACCTTACCTCACATTCATAAAAACAGCCACCACTGTACTCTAAATATTCTTATTCTTTCCACAGATTTCTTAGCACTCCTGTTTGTTTCCTTCCTTTGTCAATTTTGTTATTTGTCTTCATTTACCATAGACCTATCTGGCAATACATCTATCAAACCATACCACGGGCGGGGTTAGAACCCGCGATCAGAGAGATATAAAACTCCAGACCGAAGGGATATCTAATACTTATTAGACATCCCTTCTTGCAAATAAACATTAAAGAAAAACAACAGTTATTCCAAGTCTTATTCCCTAATTATTTGTATCATTCCAGTCTTACTCCTATCCATCCACGTTACTTTTCCCACTTTTAGCATACCTAAACAGTAACTCACTCCTTCATCCACAGTTCAACATTCAACTTTTAATATCCATCTCTCAATTACGTCTAATTTCCCATCTAACATCGTTTAATTGACTTAGTTGATGAGGTCGTTTGCTCCCGAGGTTTTTCATTTTATTCATATCTATGCAAAACTGTCTTTTTCTCAGCAAAAGCTGCTGAATTGGACTAACTAATTCTCTCATATTTTCCTTCATTTGCTTCCTTTCACCCGTTTGAAAACCATTCTGTTCTTCTCCGCATAATCCGAGTTTTTTTTTTTCACATCGTAAAAAGTTTCACATATTAAGTTTTCCACATTACTACTCATTCCACCTAAGTTTTCTACCAATAAATCAATTTTCTTCCTGTACCCACTCTCATATAAACACAACACGTTTACTGAATACTCTAGCACCGTATTCTCAAGCACTCTCTCTCTCTCTCTGGTAAACCGTTCTTCCAACAGCTTGTAATACCTCTCAATAACCTTCTACTTCTGAAATTCATTCACCTTCATTTCTCTTTACCTTACTGACTCTACTACCTTTGTACATTACCTCTGAAGAAGCATATCATCAATCGCTCCTCTAAAAACATGAAGAGGTGTGTCATTCACACGTATCGTAGCAGACTGGTCCAGTTGTGTAGTCTGCAAGACTTACAAGCGACACTGTTGGTACACAGTGACAAAAATAAATCACGAAAATTATAAAGAATAACGATGGAGCTTTAGGAATCTAGAAAAATAATGAACTTGAGGAAATCTGTGATTTGCAAACAGAACCGGGTAAACATTTGCCTAACTCTTCCATCTGAAAATCCAATGGCTTATATATATATATATATATTTTATATATATATATATATATATATATATATATATTATATATATATATATATATATATATATATATATATATATATATATATATATATATATATATAATATATATATATATATATATAATATATATATATATATATATATATATATATATATATATATATATATATATATATATAATATATATATATATATATATATATATATATATATATTATATATATATATATATATATATATATATATATATATATATATATATATATATATATATATATATATATATATATATATATATATATTATTGTGTGTGTGTGTGTGTGCGCGCACGCGTCCATGTGATTATAAAATTGTGAAACAGTTTATATAAAGATGTAA